AAAGAAAGAAAGTGAAAGTAACAAAGGAAGAAAAGGGAGGAAAGGTGACAGAAAAAGTCGTCATATAAAAAAATAAAAGGAAATAAAAGAGAATATAAGACTTTTTGTTTAACATTTTATTTAAACATTTTACAACTATCTTAAAGCAAAAAAGTGATGCGTAGTTAATAAATGTCGGTAACGTTGTTCATCGTATAAATATATTATTGTATATATACTATATCGTATATATATATAACAATCCTCTATATATTAAGAAAGAATCATTTAAAAAAATTGTAACCTTAAGTTGTAATAATTAAAAATAACCTTAATTCTATGTAATATAGTTATTTTTCTTCTATTTCAATTTAAAAAAATTCTAGAACATATAATAAATGTATAGTCGAAAAATTGTAATTTCTAGCAATATAATATTTCGTAGGCTATAGTTGATCACATATATCAAATGTTTATTGTTTCGCAGATTTTCCTTAAATAAAACCTACGAAATTACTTAATGTGATTAAAATATATATATATATATGACAATAAATGATTTTAACAATAAAGATTTGATAACAATCTGTATATTTTTATCATTAAGTTTATTTTTTTATTATTAAAATAAATTACACAATTATATTAATTATATGATAAAAATCTAGATTTTTTTGTGTATGTTGTATTTCGAATTTTTCAAAATGAGTATAAATTACTAAAACTGTTAAAAATCTCACATAAACATTTAGAATCAAGGTTTTAATTTTTTCTGTATTAAAATATAATGATTATAAGACCATATAAAGAAATAACTTTAGTTTATATATATTTCATATTGTTTAAATTAAACTATACATTGTATAAAAATACATACTTGTATTTTGATATTTTTATTGAACATATATTGAAAAGTTAATACTTTAATTTTAAAATATGTCATTATTTTTTTAAAATGATTATAAATTATTGAAACTACTAAACATATCAAATTAAAAAAAAATCGTTGCTATAAAATTTTGTTACACAAATATGCAAATAATCATAAAATCATATGAGTAGAAACTTCATTTAATAAATATCCATATTAATATTGTGCTATATTACTATGTTTATATCATTTAAATTTAATTACATATCATATACAGTATATAAGATTGATTATTTTGATTTATTTACCCTAATTGCGAATAAACAAAAGTGATAGTTAAATTTATATGCATACGTCAATTTATTACATAATAGTAACTGATTACTTAGTTATTTATATATTTATTATTTTAGTATTTTATAATATGCAGAAAAATATAAAATAAATAATAAATATAAAATACTTATCCTGCGTAAAGTGCAGATTTTAATCTAAGTATGTATCTCTTTAATTCTTTTAAATCTTAAATATTTTCTAAATCGCAAGTCAAAACAAAAAAAAACAAATGAGAATAAACTTCAAAATCAATATTTATATCGAGTAACAATCAAAATAAATAAAACACAACAAGAGAAAAAATTGAAGATAAATAGGATTGACACGTGAACGCAAACTTCTCATAACCATAATTAATTCTTAAATTGTTAAATCATGATATAAAACTGAGTTGATTTTTAATTTATTAATTTTTCAAAATTTTAGTTTTTTTAAATCATTATGGGTATGTTAAACTATGACCATAAGTAAATTTAAATTATGACCATAATTAAATTTAAATTATTTGTTTGTACTGGAAAAACTTAAATATTGTTTTTAAAATGATTTAAAATTTACTTAATTTTTTATAATTTTTTTTTTAAAAGTAATTTGTAAGAAATATAATTTTCTAATATTATTAGACAAATAAATAAATTATATTAAATTAGTTTTGAAACTTTATATATTTTGAATGCAAATATTTTATCAACTGCTTCTAAAAAAACATTACGGAACTTGCTAATACTCTACCAATCATTCCCAGAGACACTCCATTTATTTTCTATCACTCGAACACTGAAAAGTGAAAAGATATATGAAATCGGGTCCATTAAATTGTATAGATAATTATATCAAAATTTAAAATTCTAAAATTTAAAATACATATGAAAACAATCATATGTAAATTTTAAATTTTATATTTTAATTATATACATTCATACTGCGCAAGACGCAGGTCTTATCCTAGTTTACATAATTTGATATCGATTGTATGTTTTATGTATGTTTTTGTTCATAAAAATTAAGTAAAATTTAATATACATAAAAGTGCCCACATGTTATGTTTGTAGTGAAAACGTTTACATGAGTTCAAACAATATACATTTTGAATTATTTTGAAGATAAAAATTAAAATATAAGAATGACCACAGAAACACAATTTTATCATACTGAAATTGAAGAAAACTAATAAAATATGATAAATTTATCCTCGAATTGTTGGTATTGAACATTTATAAAAAGTTGTAAACCTAAGCGATTTGATGATTCGGGTGACAAGTTTAAAATACAATAGATAAAGTGTGATATTTTAAGAAACTGTCAATAAGATAAAGAAAGTTTTGTATTAAAACATTAGACAAAAGCCTAATGAGTCGGATTAAATATGATGAGATGTTTTGCAGGTTACATCATAGTATAAATTTTTAACCATTCATAAATATATGGGTCTGATTGGATTAGTGATTTGAGAAATCTTTATTTCTCTTTCAAAAACTTATTGGATTTGACATTTAAGAAATTCATTAAAATTAAAATTTATTAGAATAATCATTTGTACAAATATATAATTTCTGGTAAGACTAAATTATAAATGATAACCTTCAAAAAACTTATACAGACGTTACAATTTTATATTAACAACTTTACAAGACTATTTTTTTAATATAAAATTTTCACTATTTACAAAAAAAAAAAAAAAAAAAATCCTTCTCATTCTTCTAGTTATAAGGAATTATAGAACAAAAAAAATGTGTTTATCAAATGTGGGAATATTGATAAAAAAAAATGAAATGAAGGAATCAATAATAAGTTATAAATATTTTTCTTCACTTCTTTTTTTATATCAAATGATTATTGTATCATTCAAACTATAGTTAGTCTGGTAATTTAAACCGGAATAAAAAGACTAACAAAAACTAAACTTCTATTAAAAGCTTCCATGGTTTTGGCTAAAGTATCTGTTATCTTATTCTCTACCTTTGGTATGTGAATGATTTTGAAGTGTTGAAACCTTCCTTGAATAGCTGCTAGCTCTGCTAGTTCCATTGAAAAACTTCTTCATTTCTATTATTTTGTTGTTTTCTCATTCATAATGTTTAATGGTTACCAATTTTTCTATAGGCATGGCGCTTAATTATATAGTGGAGTTGTATAATGCCATACACGAAAAACAAAAATTCAGTGATTAAATAATATTTGAATAATGATCTTACTTATTAGAAAATAAAATAAAAACAATTCACATGTCGCCCAAACACACACACACACAATTGTAGCATAGGTCATTTTCGTGAAAAGAAAAATAAAAAATAATATACTGGACAGCAGATAACATAAGAAATGCATTTAAAAAAAATAAAATAATAAATAACATAAGTAATTCAATCTGAACTGATATAAATAAAAAGAGGAGACGCGTATGGAGATTTGATTAAGTTCACGAAAAAGCGGTAGAAAAGAAGAGCGGTTTGGCTTGCTGGTGAACTCTGGAACTTATCCTAACTCTTTAATGGTTCCAGAGATAGAGAGGTGATACACGTGTGTTTCAGATTACTCCTTTTTCTTTATTCTGTGGCTCCTCTCATTCTTACGTTTACGAAAAAATACATAAATAGTATTTATTACAAAAACAAGATATGATTTGGAATATTCAATAATTTGTCATTTGACTCAATCTCATATTCGGTAATTAATTGAACTTGATCCCAATTTGAATTTGGTTTTGATAGAAAAATATATTTGATAGGTCTCCGATTTTAAAAATAATCACACGAAAAGCCACTAAAAATTCATAATATATTTACTTTTAGCTTTTCTGAACTAAAATTTAAAAATATATATGAAATAACTGAGTAATCGGTAATACGAGAGCTTTTTATAGTGGTCAAGTAATTTCTTAATACATGGAGTATATAACAAAAAAGCTAAGATCCAGAATTTTGTTATTGGTTAATGTACTTAGTTAATAAATAAGTTAGTTTCTAAAAAAAAATAGGCTGTCAGGGGAAAATAATGTAATTTTATGTTTTTTAAGAACAATGAATTACCTCATGCTATAATATTCCCTTTGTTTTTAAGTATATTATTTTGACATTTTTTACACCGATAAAAATAATTAAATGTATTTATGCTTTTAATAATTACACTTACTTAATCAATAACATTTAAGATAAATAAAATTATTTATAAAATCAACATATTTCGTATTTAATATTAATTTTAAAGTTATTATAAATTGTATTGAAAATCAAAAATGATATTTCTTTGTATAACAATAAAAATATCAAAATGACACTCTATAAAAGAGAAGGAGTATCACTTTGAGTAACACATATATGTACATTGTTTGGTTTTCTGGTTACTAATTAAGAAACAACTTATGGCATCTTAAAGACAACGATAGTACAGATTAATGTATCATATTGAGCGAACTTAATTATTTTCAAATGATTTGTGTGAGGATCCACCCTCTATTAAATATGTATTAAAATGATTCCTAAGTTACACTTATACAAACAAATTAATAAGAAAAATAGTGAGAATAAGATACATTTAGGATTTTTAATACCTTTTGCTAATACCATATGTACGCATATGTAGGTCCTCTCTCTTTGTATTATGTGTATATATGGGAGCTTGGTAGAGGTTCTCAACCGTGACTTCTCAATACACATACTTCTTGCCCATCTTCTGCTACTATTGCATGTCTTTTATATATATATACATCTCTCGTAAACCCTAGTAAATCACACAAGGTAAGCCCTCTCATGGACTATGACGCTCATGGATTGTTGTTATCAGGCCAAGAAGCTTTGTGATCACGAACGACGCGATGGATAGAGATTACTCGGTACGTACGTTTTCTCCATATCTTAATAATTATTTCTTCGCCTATATATATATATATATGTATATATAAATATTCAGGTTTCTTTCAGGCACCGAACTTCTTAGGTGAATCTTCAGGCGATAATGACGATAACAACTCCCGTATGATAGACTATATGTTCAAAAAAAACCTTCAACAGCAAAAGCAATCGATGCCACAGCAGCATCAACTGTCTCCTTCAGGCTTTGGCGCAACACCTACTTTTGATAAAATGAGCTTCGCAGACGTGATGCAGTTTGCGGACTTTAGTCCGAAACTGGCGTTGAACCAGACCAAAAAACAAGACGATCAAGAAATCGGGATGGACCCGGTTTGTTTCTTGAAGTTTCCAGTCTTGAATGATAAGATAGAGGACCATAACCAAACCCATAATCTCATGTCTCAAGAAGGAGGTGAGTGTGAAGGAAACATAGGCAACGTATTTCTTGAAGAAAAGGAGAATCAAGACGAGGAAAACGTTAACAACTCGGTGCAACTCCGTTTTATTGGAGGAGAAGAAGGAGAAGAAGGAGATAGAGAGAAGGAAAATGATACGACAAAGGAGGTGAAGAGCAAGAGGAAGAGAGCAAGAACAAGCAAGACTAGCGAAGAAGTAGAAAGCCAACGAATGACTCATATCGCGGTCGAGAGGAACCGTAGAAAGCAAATGAACGAGCATCTTCGTGTCCTCAGGTCTCTTATGCCTGGATCCTACGTTCAACGGGTATGATTACGCATATACTTCTTTTTATGTGTGACTCCATTCATATGTATATATATAATGTCTAAAAACATTTATTTCACTATATAGGGAGATCAAGCATCGATCATAGGTGGAGCAATAGAGTTTGTGAGAGAGCTGGAGCAACTCCTACAATGTCTGGAGTCACAAAAGCGTCGGAGAATCCTCGGAGAAACCGGTAATAGGCAAACTGGGGACATTACCACGACAATGACTTCTTCTTCACCAATAGAAGGTGGAGGAGGAGGGCTCCGGGAAGAAACAGCGGAGAACAAGTCGTGCTTGGCTGATGTGGAGGTGAAGCTGCTAGGGTTTGACGCTATGATCAAGATACTTTCAAGAAGAAGACCAGGACAACTGATTAAGACTATTGCTGGTTTGGAGGATCTTCATCTCTCTATCCTTCACACTAACATCACTTCAATGGAACAAACTGTCCTCTACTCCTTCAGTGTCAAGGCAAGTTTTACTTTCTTACATCATAATCAAAGGAGTTTATACATCGTACATATAAACTTTTTATCCATATGTTTGGATTGTTTAATATAAACATTCATATTTTTAGTAAGTTATGGAAAAAAGTAATAGTTAGTGATTAGCTACTGCAGTTTCAATCATTGGCTGGATGATTGCTTAGTGGCAATTACATGATTTTACTAAATAAGCAATAACCATATATATAGGAATGAAACTTTGATAATATATATTACACATAATTATACAATTACAATTAGATAATATATTACATATAACTTTGTCATTATAAGCATGCACTATTTAAGTTATGTCATAATGCAATTTTATTAAATACTCCGTCTGTTCAAAATGATCCATGTTCTATAAAAAAAATTGATTTCAAAAATACATTTTTTATATTTTCAATACATTTATTAATGGTAAATTGTAAAAATTAGGGCAGTACAAAGTTTTAAAGGAAAAAGCTTTACAGCAACACCTATTACAGGTTTTGTTTCCCTCTACACAGAAAAGAGAAAATTATAAAGGAGTTACAAAGACGATATATATATATGTATTCCAGTTGGTATTGTTATAAAGTATATAGTAAACGCAAAATCTAACATCAGGTAGGTATAAACACGTGCAGATTACAAGTGAGACGAGGTTTACTGCAGAAGACATTGCAAGTTCCATCCAAGAAATATTTAGTTTTATTCATGCAAATACTACCATGTAATAATTTTTATATTTCTCCTGTCATTTCCGTTAAAGGTACTTTTCCCAAGTTTGTGTTGGTGGCTTAAAAACAAAAGTCAATGTTTGTTCCATTTTAGATTTTACGTGCCCTTTTGTTATGTTTATGTTTTACCTTTTAGATGCAATTATTTGTTCGTTTGCTATGGTACATCTAATCATCAAGACATCATTAACATATCTAATATACTCAGACATTTTAATTCAATTACTAGGTAATAATATCCGAGTCTTGCGGAAAATGAGATTATTAATTTTTTATTTTTAGAATAAAGAAGATATTAACTGTTTTAGCCTGAATCTCGGTTTGATTTTATGCTGATTTTTGTTTTCGTTTTTTTATCTCCAAATATATGACTATCTTTCTAAATATATATTTATTTTGGTTTGTTCATTTAAAAGGTTTGATATTTTTAAAAACTATAATTATTTGTTTAGTTTCATGTTTTATAAAATTTAGATACTTCTGGTATCAAACAAATGATTCCCTATTATAATTTTTAAGCGCATGCAAAATAAAATCGAGTCTAAATAATAGTTGAAGAAAAAAGAAAGAAAATTATTAAGATAAATCATTTTATTACAATTTATCGATGGCAAAAATAACCATTAAAAATGTTCCAACTTTTGAGAGAATTATAGTCTTCATTGGTGAATATTTAATTATATAGTCGTTCACGTCAAAATGTACATGTGTATGTAAAAGTAGATAAATGTGGTGATAAATATATGAAGATACTATTATTTAACATTCAAAATATATTTTTGTTCAAAATAACCCATGCTAGTAAAATTCTTATATACTACAATGTGATCTCTTCACACAGTACATGAATTATGTTTTAAATATATTTTGTGATTTTTCTTTATTTTAAAAATTTTTCGAGTTTCTCATTTTTTTCTAATAGTTTGATTTTGTTTCTAATTTGTGATTTGATATGAAAATTTTGTAAAAAGTAATATTTGGCTAAACTAAAAATTTGACTTTAAATGTGGTGTTTTTCACCTCATTTTCCTTAGTTTATAGCCACTTGCAATTATTTTTTGTCTTCGTTTACAAAAACCTCAACCATGGCCAACTTCAGCAATGTACAAAACTTTCAATTCTATAAATATTCTCATTTCAACATTTTTGTTGAAGCGAATCTTAATGATTTTGTCATTTTTTCTGTCAATAATGATATTATTCATTAGTTGCACATAATTTTTTTAATTCACTAATAAAAAGATTAAAATATAGGAAATAAAAAAGAATTAATTAAAAAATTTGTGTATGGACATATTAAATTATGAGTTGAGAAATTAGTATATGAACACATTAATTGTCAAATGATTGCGAGACTGACACGTCAGTATTCTAAAGTTAAAAAGTTTGTGAAGCTAACACGTGTCAATTACGATGTGAGTGTATTATTACAATGTTTCTACTTTAATATATAAAGGATTTTAGAGTGCTAAAGGTTGGAAAGAATCTTAACTTCTTATAAATGCATGAATGATGCATGAAAAAAAAACAATTATCCTTTCCAGTACTAAATAAGATCATATTTCTAAAGTTGGCTGATATGATTTCAATTAGCTTTTCCTAAATCACAATATTACAATAGCTTTCTGTCAACAATGAAAGATTATTCTGCGCCCAAATTTGTATAGTTTTCCATATCACTAGACTTTCAGATATTTTGCCAAAATAGTAGACGATTTATAGAGTTTGCTATTTTCCCTAGAAATTTTTTTAATACTTATTTAAATTCAGCTTCTGTTTCTGAACTTTTAAGTTTTAAAAATCTTTATAATAATAAAATATGATTTTTCTGAAGTTTCCTTATATTAACAATGTGAATAATTTGTGTTTGAGAATAATTTACAGGTATTTATGTGGAATGAGCTTCAATGTAATGGGTTCAGAGAGCAGGTCGTGGAGATAATACAATCAGAAATAAATAACGATGAAATATGCGACAAGAAAAGAGGACGTGATTTTCTCGTTTCTTCTATGACGTTTTAGTCAGTATAAACACGAGAATGGATGGAGAGCAAAAGTATCATAAAGACAAAGCTTTATTGATTGGAATAGAGTTACTAAAAGGGTATCCAATGAATTTGATTATATGGTAGCTGCTTGAGAGCGAAATCTAAAGATTGAAATTGGTCTCTAAAATTTATCGTCCTCTTGTCAAATGTTCAAAGAAGGGTTTCTATAAAATTACATGATGTCTAGATCAGTATATACATCTATCATCTGGTGATCCGTACTATTCTATGTCCATTGTGTTGTAAAACTCATCATTACTATGATAAAACTTTCCGGTGCATCCATGCTATCATTAGAGTTGGCAAACCCTTTAATTTTTTTGACATGACTAATGTTACGTTGCATGGTATTTCGTGAATCACACTTCTTCCAACTAGATTCCGTACCGGTGCAGTGGATCTTTCATAAACGCGTGGTCGAACATGGTCCAACCATTTGTTACCTGAAAAACTGTTTCTGGCCTTGTTATATTACCTTCTTGTCCAAGAAAGTCTATGTTTGAATGATTCTGATTTCAAATTTCATACTGTACACAAGAAGTTGCGTAATTAAGAAGACAGAGACGAACAAAGGGTTCCGCACTAAGCCTTTTTTTAAATAAAACAAAGGTTTCCACATGATAATCAGGGCTGCGCTGTAGTTGAAGAAAAAGGCCAACGGCCTCCTTTTTAAAGAAATATCAAGGGCCCATTTCAAAAAGTATATTTGCTTAAAAAACTATTAGAATTTAAAAGTATATTGATTAGTTTGGTTCATAGAACCTAACACTAAAATCTATACAAATCAATAATATTAATTTATTATGATTATAATATTTTAGGAATTTAATAAAATTTATTAGTTTATTAAAAATTAACTAGAACAAAATTTTAATTTAAACTAATTTTATAATGATATATCAAATATTATTATTATTATTATTATTTTTGAAAGTGAACGTCTATTCTATTACTCAAACTTAATGTGGTCTGGGTAATTAAAATGAAATAAAACAATCAATAAAATATAACTCTTTATGGAAGGGTTTAGCAATCTTAGCTAAAAAATCAGAAATCTTAATGTAGATATGTATGTATTTTTCTATTGAGCCATCAAAATATTTCGGCTCCCTTTCTTATTTTCTTTTAATAAAGGACTCCTGTTTTGATTATATATATTCTCTGCACGATTAGTGAAATAAAATAATGAACCAAATCAAAACCAAACTGGAGCTATGAGACAACTAACCCCTTTTTATTCTTCTTCTTTTACTTTTCTATATATAATATTGATATAAAATGCAAGTAGTTGTTATTTATTTCTTAAGCAAATGCAATTAATTGTTCCAACATCACTTTTTACAATAATATAAAGATGTCACCAAAGAAAAAAAAGAACAATCATTTGAGCAAACAAGAAACGAGGTGAAAAAGGAGAAGAAGCTGATGAAATGTTATTCCAAACCTTACTGAATAAGATGACGATTTTAGTTTAGGAATTTTTTTTTTCAAAAGTTAAAAATTGTCAGACCATCTTTGAAAGCTTGGTTATCGTTGCGCAACGTATGGCAACACACATATTACATACTAGAACTACATTTTATTTTCTAGTTTAATTCTTTTGTTTTTTTGTTTAACTTAGGAATATCCCGAATGGAGACCTAGACTAATCTCTAAGGAGAAATGTAGCTAATGGCAAAATGAGTGCTATGGCAAGGGGATCAAATGACTCATGTGATTTTTGTAAAAAAAAAGAAGTTGTATTGTCAAAAAATAATCCGATGAATTTAGTTTAATGACACCTTTAAAAGACATATGTTACCAAATTGAGCCCTTTAAAATGAATTCCTACCTCCATTTTTAGATGTAGGCCAACTTTCTCTCTAAATATTTTAATGAATTGAAAGTACAGTTTAATTCATATCCATGTGGTCACAAGTTAGATAATTGTTTTCTCTTCGTATCACTCGATGATATATTTATTATTGTCAACGCTTTTGTTCTATATGAATTAAGACATTTTTGTATTGTGTCTGGTCTCCTGTAAGAACAAACTTGCTCGTAATTTGGTCCATAAAGACAAGAACAGAGCATGTAACATCAAATCCACACAATGTTTTGTTCACAGATATGAACACTGCTTATGAAATCTATAATAGTAAGTGATAAATAAAATCATGGACGAATCGTGTGACAGCAAGTTTTATATCGCAGCTAAAAAGTAACCTAAAAACGATTAAGTTAGAGAGATTAACCAGGATGCAGCTTCCCGGTTATAATTCTAGCTTTCTCTCTCATGCGATTACTCTCTCGGGCACGTAACTAGAGAATAGTCTTTACCCACTGGTTTTTTCACTGTTTTCCTCTGCTACATCCGACTTTTTCACCTTTTCGGCCTATTATCCACTGCTT